AGGACCCTTGACAGACTGTGTAGAATGCTGCTGTAGGGTATCATTCCATGGGAGGAGAGGGGCTATGATATTTGTACACTAACTGCCATAAGTCAATGGTTGAAGCTTGCTCCTGGGGGCATTGATTTTCCAGCTCTTTCAGCCTGTTGCATGGATGGGTCAAGCCTGTTATGGGCCAGAGTACCTCTACCTATGGGGACTTTATGGTTGGGACCTTCTGTAGGTGTATCCCAGGTTCATGGGTGTGGGACATCAAAAGCACCTACCATAGTTTCAAAATTTAAGTGTGTTTAACCTGGAAGAAGGAAAATGCAGGGGGTGCATCACCTGGAGGGAGTTTGAGTCCAAGCAACAGAGATGAACTCTGGTTAACACAAGCAATAGAAGATCTATATTTGGTAAGACATTAGGACTTCAGGGAATGGAATAAAAAGGGAAGCCTGGGAAGCCTGGAGAGTCAGGGTAGGGGTGGAGGGTGTATGGTTAGGGAGGCTTGGACCCCATCCTCACTTCATGGCTGGGTGTGCAGGGTACTTGGATTGATGATGCCACCAGACTGTATCTAGTAGGGAAGATTGGTTCTTTTATAGGAAAACCAGGAAATCTAATGAGTGGTCCTATAACCTGTGGGGTCTAGAGCCCTTTCTAGGATTTGGACAAATCCCAATGTATTTAGGGGAAAATTTAGGAGGAAATTTCTGACGTCTGCAACTTAATTTGAAATGCATAAAAAATAAGACAAAAGATGACTTAATGGATGGAAATAGGGATGTATAGATGGTTTTATATGTCATAAAGTATAATAAAATATTCATGGTAGATTTTTGGTGATGGGTATGTGGGTATTAACCACAAAATTATTTCAAATTTGCTGTATGCTTGAAATTTTTCATAATTGGATATTACAGGAAAGAAGGAAAATTGGGTATTGGTTACCCAAAATTCAGGAGGCCAAAGCAGTAAAGAGAGTCCTTCTCAGGAGGTCTTGCTAATAGGCTCATTGCATGAACAGGGCTGTGGTTCTTTGCCAAGCTGGACCAATCTTCTGGGCTTTGTGCATTGGCCTTTGGGCTAAACTTACTTTTTTACTAGAATCAGTGGATGTATTTAATCCATTTGGTCTACTGCTACCTAATGTGGCCTCACAGAAATGCCCTCAGCCTGTCTAGACCTGAGGTGTGAATTCTCCATGTTTAACTGTAAAAACAGAGAAAATAATGTTTGAGGACAGTATTTAGGACTATTGAATGCTGTCTAATTTCTTGACATCTGGTTTTGTGAGGTTTCTTGGTGACTAGAACTGTAGTTATTTTCTCGTGGTTGCCCTGGGAATACCATTAACATCTTGATTTTAAACAATCTAGGTCAGATTACCAGCAATTTAATTTCAATAGTGTAAAAAGACTTTCCTTCTATGTAAATCTGTCCCCCTCCCCTTTTATGCTATTCTTGTCACAGATTACATCTTTATACATTTTTTGCCCATCAGCATAGATTATAATTATTGCTTTAAGTAGTTTTGTTTTTTAAATCAGAGGGGAAAAAAAGAAGTCCAGATCGAAATAATACATTTATACTGTATTTTATGTTTATCTATGTAGTTACATTGAACAGAGCTTTTTAGTTCTTGATATTAATTCAAGTTACTACTTAGTTTCCTTTCATTCAGCCTGAAGGCCTCCTTTCAGTATTTCTTGTAGAACAGTCTTGCTGATAATAAACTATGCTGTTGTTTTGTTAATGTCTTAATTTCTCCTTAATTTTTGAAGGATAGTTTTGCTGTATATAAAATTCTTAGTTGACAGACTCTCTTTTTTAAATTTAATTTAAACACTTTGAATGTTATTCCTCTGCCTTTTGGCCTCCATGGTTTTTGATAAATCTGATGTCAAACTACTCTTTGAAAGAATCATTTTTATGTGATGAGTGACTTCTTTCCTTCTGCTTTTAAGATTCTATCTTTGGCTTTTGACAGTTTTATACTAGGTGTAGGTCTCTTTCAGTTTATCTTACTGGAGTTCATTGGACCTCTTGGATGTGTAGATCAATGCTTTTCACCAAATTTGGGGAGGTTTTGGACATTAATTATTCCAATATTATTTTCATACCCTCCTCCTTTCCTTCTAAAACTCCTCTTACACATGTATTGATACACTTAATGGTGTTACATGAGTCTCTGAGGCATTGTTTATTTTCTTCATTTTTTTTCTTATTCCTCATACTTAATCATCTCAGTTGACCTATCTTCAGATTGTCTGATTCATTCTTCTGCCTGCTCATAATTGCTGTTGATCCTCTCAGTAAATTTTTAAAAGTTATTGTACTTTTCAGCTCCATGATTTATATTTGGTTTCTCTTTATAATTTCTATCTCATTATTGATGCAGTCTTTATGGTGAGGTATCATTCTCATATTTTACTTCTCTAGGCCTTGTTTCCTTTAGTTCTTTGAACGTATTTAAAATAGCTAATTTAAATTTTTTCTCCAACATCTGGGCTTCCTCAGGAACAATTTTGATGGATTGCTTTTTTTCATGCATATTGGCCATATTTGTTTCTTTGATTGTCTCATATTTTTTTTGTTGAAAACAGAGTATTTAAATAATGTAAGGTAGCCACTCTGAAAATCAGATTCTTCTTTTCCTCAGGATTTTTGTTGTTACTCTTTGTTGTAGTTATTTTTATTTGTAGTTATTTTCTTTGTTATTTGCTTGTTTTGTTTTTATGAACAAACTCTATATTCATCTGCATTCTTTATTTTATATGGCCACTGAAATTTCTGCTCAGTTAGTTCAGTGATCAGTTGATGACTGAGCAGGAGATTTTCATGAATTTCTGAAGCCAATAAGTCTACTACTCTTTGCCAAAGGGCTCTGTGTCTAGAAATGAGGCATCTCTAACACATATCTATGCAATTGACAAATCTGCTTTTGCCTTCACTCATGCTTGTACAGTCTCAAGGTCAGCCAGAGGTGAGAGCTTAGGGTCTTTTCAGTTTTTTCCTGAACATGTGCACAGTCCTACACATGTGTATGTGGCCTTCCAGATTTCCAGGAACATATTGGAGCTTTTGACAGCCCCTTGGACATTTCATTTCTTATCTTTTCCTTTTAAAGCTTTTTGGTTAATCTATTGTTTGTCCCAACTGTGATCCATTTGCCTCAGACAGCCATGCTGCTGAAACATTTGCCAGTAAATGTTTTCAACAAATGTCCTCTACCGTTTTAGGAAAAGGCTTTTAGTACTGGGCAACCAAAAAAGCCATGCTTTTCAGTGGCGTTTACTAGGGAATCACCAGACAAGTCAAATAATGACAATTTTCTTGAAATGAGGTCTGCTCTGCTCCCTTCATACTGGGTTTCCAGGTTCCCAGGCTGATGTCTTCCTTTTCAGTGGTGTTCCCAGGCTTTCTAATTCAGACTGGCCATTTTGCAAAGATGAGATCAGAATGTCCAATCTAGGTCTTCCACAAATCAGGCTCTTTCAGGAACTTAGTACATTTTGCAGCCTGAGTGTTAGGTACCTATGTGATTCACTGTCTGACTGGTAGAGCCCAGAAGTCCTCAAGGCCTCCTCACTGACTTTCATCACCACCTGGAAGATTTAAGAAAACGACTAAAACCCCTGGCCCCATAATCTGTGAAGTTTAGAGCCCTTCCTAGTATTTGGACAAGTCCCACTAGTGGATGGACTCCTTCTCTTTCATGTGCCATGAGTACTACCTTGACTTGCCTCACACAAAACCTGAACTCAAAGCTCAGTATCCACCAAACATTTCACAAGAGTGACAGCTTTACTGAAGGATAGAGAACTAATGGGAGGGCACATCTCACAGCCCCAGACTCCTGCTGCTTCCTGCTTCCCTTCACTGTCTCTATTCCTCTGTCTTCCCCCTTCCACAGCAAGAAACTAACTTTTCTTCTTGTCCCATGAAAAGCAAGTCCTCCACATCCAGACCTCCTGGGATTTCACCATCTACTGTAAGCACTCATCGAGGTATTACATCAAACCAAGTTTCCTTTGTAAAAGGAAAAGAGAATGAGTTTTCCCTGGCTCACACATCTCGTGTGTGTTGGTGATTCCCTGCTGCTCAGCTGCCCTCATTCATCTTTCATCCACTTACTAGCATCTCCCAAGCCTTCTCCAAACCAACTCCTCACTTCAACTATTTTCCCTTTCCTGTCTCTCTCCCCACAGCAAGCCCTCCCCTAACCGTCCTCAGAGGACTCTACCACTTCCGCTTGTATGTCTCTCCATCCTCAACCTCTTTGTCCTAGATGCTCACAGTAGATCCTAACCTCACGTAGGTCACGGCTGGGACAGACCCACGATTCTTCCTGTTGCTGACTTGCAGTCTGTGACTCTTTCCTTCTGAAGAAAGCATCCTTGAAGCAAGTGAGTGGGAAATGTGATTCTAGGAATCCTCTGATCCACTCTAAAATGCTGTGGGTGTCATCTGTATGTGTCTATGCAGGGGAAGGGTGGCAAAGCTCTTCAGGACTGACCGCACACCACATTAAGGATGCCCTCATCCTTCCCCAGCTTGATTCAGGCCTGCTGCAAGGTGAAAGAGCTGTCCACTTGGAACTGTTGAGATGATCATTAAAGGACTTGCACCTCTAAAGAAGGGAGGAATCCCTGATGTAGCATTTGCTGCTTAAAGAAAAAATAGAGTGATGTGGAGTCTCCCAAAGTAGACAGGCAGACAGTCAGCATTCAGAGCCCCAGTGGTGCCATGTTAGAGCTGAAGAGCAATGGTGTAGGTTAAGCTGTGGGCACTGGGTGAAAATCTACACTGGCCTGAGGCATGAGTAAACAGCTCCTGGTGTGCAGAGTGAGCTGGCCAGAGGAGGAAAGTGGAAGCCCCATTTAGTAATGACCAGCACAGAGAACCACTGAGGGTCACCCCTCCTGTTGCCCCAGGGTCAGGTGGCCTCCATGCTGTACCTGGTGGAGGCAGGCCCCCTGCTGCACCCCACCAAAGACTGGGTGTCTCCACAGGTCCATGACCGCTTGGATCGCTACTGTTGTGGCTTTGAGCCTGAGCCCTCAGACCCCTGTGTGGAAGAGGGGCTCCGAGATAAGTGCCGGAACCCGGCTGAGCTGCGGCTGGTCCACATCCTGGTATGTCTCCTCCACACCATCCCCTTGTCAGCCCAGACCTGGGTCTTCCTGTCTCCTTCAGAAGTTGCTGTTAGCAAGTTTCAGAGATCATTTGATGCTGGGGTTTCCCAGTCTTGTTCTTTTTAGCAGCAGAACCAGTTGTTTGAATATTTCCAGGAGGCTGCAATATATAAAACTGACAAAATGGAGCTTTAAGAAAGTCTCTGAGGTGGAGCGTGGGGTGCGGGCTGGAGCCCTGTTTTCACTGTCTCCACTGCCCCTAAGAGACTCCAGGGAACTGAGGCTCCTGGAAGTAGAGTTTGAGAATGGTGTGTCTAGTCAGCATCTTCACTGTGCCAGTAAATGAGGAATTGCAGTCTGGAGGGAAAGGAATCTCCAGGGCCATATGGTAGCAGCATTAGGGTATGAACCCAAGACCCCAGTGGCTCACAGGCTGGTGCTGCTCCCATCAAAACTGCAGTCGAGGGTGGGAAGCAATGTGCTGAAGCCATTGGTGAGGGCAGAATAGCCACTTCTTCTGCCTAAGAAGCAAGGTGCTTCCCCCAGGGAAGGGTTTCTCTATGTTGTCCTGCAATGAAGCACAGTGTCCTCACAGCCTCCCTTCGCTCTTGGAGGGGAGCTGTCAGCCTGGTGTCCAGGGCTGGGCTTCAGGCCGGCCACATCACCCGGATGCCAGGATTGCCTAGTGGTGGTGCTGGGAATTCTCCTCCCCTGCCTCCAGAGCCATCTCTCCTTTTCCCTGGTCAAAGGTAAGCATCCCCTGGACAGGCAAAACTTTAATCTCCATTGTCTACCCCTGGTGAGCAGGCTTTTCCAAGACCTTTTAGGACAGCAGTTTCCAGAGGAAAGAATCATTGTTTGAGAAAAAGGTGATCCTGACTTGTGGAGTGGGGTGTAAAAGGAGAAGAGGCAGAGAGAGGGGAAGCTAAGGTCTTGGAAACAGAGGCTCATAGCTTAAGTCTAGGCCATTGGAGAGGATTGTGGGAAATGCCCGTAGACTTTCGGAGACAATGTGGGAATGGAGTGTGTGCATGGGAGTGGGGGCCAGGAGAGATGGCCTCCCATTCACAACCACACCATATTCTTTAAGGTACTAAAGAATTCTCTGGTGCTGATTTTAGTTTTGAAAAGATTTAGGAGCTGCTAAACTCTTCTGTAGAAACAGTATTGTCAGTGGTTTTTGAGGATAAAAGACACCACTGTGTGCTGTCACTGATGCTCAGGGGATGCCCAGGGCACAGGCACAGGTGGCACAAAGGGGTGAGTGAGTGTGTGTACATGTGTGAGCAGCACATGTGCGATGCCTCGCACAGCCAATGGACCCGAGGAGGAGGCTACCTCGGCACCTGCCGATTCCCGGCCATGCTCCTCACCCCTTCAGCCACCAAAACGGGATCAGTCCTTCAGCCTTGCAATTTAGCAGTGGTGCTGTGGCTTAGCCCTATGGGTCCAGGTTTGAAACAGGCCAGCTACTTACTAGCTGTGTGATTTCGTGCAAATTGCCTAACTTAAAGAACGTGCCACCATTTCTGTAAAATAGAGCTTACACTAGTACCTGCTTCCTAAGGTTACCGGAAGCATTAATTGAGAGGATACCTAGAAGCGCTTAGCACTGTGATAAGAGTATGTGCTCAGCCGTGAGGACTGTTAGGAAGGACTGGGGGACTGACAGCTCAGGGCTCTCAGCTACTTAATCTTGAACAAGTCCATAGGTGCCAGCCGTAGCTGCACCCTGACCCACCTCTGTCTCTGTCCACCCTCTTCCCTGAGGTCCGGAGCAGTGATCCATCTCACCTGGTCTACATCGATAATGCTGGCAACCTTCAGCACCCCGAAGACAAGCTGAACTTTCGGCTGCTGGAGGGCATAGATGGGTGAGGGTCAAAAGGGTTGGGTGGAAATTCACGGGACTGAGACATGATGGCCTTGCTGCAAACCATGGGACCTTGAACTGTGGCCCCGAGAAGGTCACGGTCCATCAGACAGAAGCTATTGGATCAGAACTTTAGGCGGTGGTGGAAAGCCCTGGGAAAGCTGACAGGGGTTACAGTTGCAGGGCCTACCCCTATATCCAGAGGGCCTCCTGTGCCTGCAGAATACTAGCTGCACTGCTGGGGTGTGGGAAGGCTAGCCCTTCCCCTGTTCTAGGTAGGCGAGTCTGTTCTTCCCTGCTCACTCTTGTCAGGCAGCTCTGCCTTCCTAGGATTTTTTTCTGGCCCTGCATTTGCCAAGTGGAGCCTGGGATAGCAGAATTTATTCACCTAGCTTTTGTGTAGGATGGGACCCATCTGAAAGGTCTATCCCCTGCCTTCACAGCACAGCCAGGCAAAGGGGCCTCTGTTAATGAGATAGCGGCACAGGCCTGGGGAGTTTGCAGGGCGACTTTGCCAGAGTTCCTCAGCTATGCAAGCTCTGGCCATCTGGCTTTACCTGTTATTGAAACTTTCTGAGATCACTGTTGCTTTCCCTTTCTGTTGTGGGGCTCTGGGGCCTTCACTCCAGGTTTCCTGAGTCTGCTGTGAGGGTTCTCACATCAGGGTGTCTACAGAACATGCTGCTTAAGTCGCTGCAGATGGACCCTGTGTTCTGGGAAAGCCAAGGTGGGGCCCAGGGGCTGAAGCAGGTCCTCCAGACCCTGGAGCGGCGAGGACAGGTGCTGCTGGAACATATCCGGAAGCACAACCTTACACTCTTCAGGGATGAGAACCCGTGAGCCTCACCACAGCCCTGAGTCAATGAGCATCCATTCTGACGGCCACATCTTCTTGGACTCACTCCTCTTGCGGACAAATAGGAAAAGCCAGAAGACAGAGAGGCACAAGGATGTCACAGGATATTTTACCTGCCTGGGATGGTGGAGGTAGCTTGTGGTTTTCAATCTCAATGCATTCCTTTCTGCCTTCTTGGCGCTGGCTGTTTATTCCCTTATACTATCAAATACATTCAAAAATGTTCTGTGAGCTGCTCAATATACTGTAAAAATGTGTGACGCACATGCATATGCAGAGCTGGAGAGCGCTGTGTGTGTGTAGAGGTGTAGAGGTGTGTAGGTGTGTGTGGCATGTGTGCACGCCTGCATGCAAGGCACGAGACAAACCTAATAAAGGTACCATCTTCATAGAACTACACTTGGCCGGGCGCGGTGGCTCAAGCCTGTAATCCCAGCACTTTGGGAGGCCAAGGCGGGTGGATCACGAGGTCAAGAGATCGAGACCATCCTGGTCAACATGGTGAAACCCCGTCTCTACTAAAAATACAAAAAATTAGCTGGGCACGGTGGCACATGCCTGTAATCCCAGCTACTCAGGAGGCTTAGGCAGGAGAATTGCCTGAACCCAGGAGGCGGAGGTTGCAGTGAGCCGAGATCGCACCATTGCACTCCAGCCTGGTAACAAGGGTGAAACTCCACCTCAAAAAAAAAAAAAAAAAAAAGAACTACACTTGCAGCCTAGAGTTGCTCTGGCTGAAAGTAGACTCAGGCCTAAGAAATGAAACATAATGCATTTGTTTTTATAGACTTTAAATTTTCAATTCTTACTCAGTTATGTTTTTTAATTTAAAAAAATTATAAAAGTCTTAAAGTAATACATGCTCCGTAAAAACAAATTCATAAATAATAGAAGCATATGACAAAAAGCACAAGTCCACAAACCCCCTAGCGGTGTGTGTATGTATTGTTCATGGTCACAGTACATGCAAATTAAAAAATAAAAGTGTGGTCATGCTTTCTTTGTCAACTCACTGTATTTTTACTTTATTCACTACATTCTGTATCTGAATGGACCCGATCTTTATTGGTGACTGCATGAAATTCCAAGGCACAGATGTATCAGATTTTATTTAGCTGGTCCCATGATCATGAACATTTAAGTAGCTCCAATTTTTTATCAATTGCAGACATTGCTGCCATGAACGTGATTGTGTGGCGTGCAAGTATTTCTGCGAGCTAGATTTTCGTAAGAGAATTTCTAGGGTAAAGGGTATGGGCATTCAGTATTCGGAGAGAAACTGCCAACTTGCTCTCTGAAATGGTCATGTCAATTTACATTTCTCCCAAGAGGATAGGGAACTGATGATTTTTCTACACCCTCAGCAACACTTGACATTCTCAGACTTCTTGGGGTTTTTTTGGTCTATTTAGTAGAAAAACCTATTTTAAAAACTGCATTTCCTTAATCATGAATGAAGTCATCTTTCCACTTATTTACCAGACATTTGTCTTTCTTTTCTGCATTGCCCTTTTCTTTTAAGATGTTTGCTTGTTAATTTGTTGGAAATCTTTGACTCTATTGAGTGTAATCAGTCTTCTCTCTGTTGACATGTCGTAAATGTTTTCTTCCAGCCTGTCATTTGTCTCTTAACTTTGTTTATAAATTCTTTTGCCAAGTGTAAAATGTTAATTTCCACATAGTCAAATTTGTTTAACTTTCCCTTTAAGTCTTTTGAGTTTCATGCCTTCTTAGAAAGGCTGTCACCACTTCAAGAATATTGAAATAATCTCCTGTTTTACTCTAGTATTATACAGTATTTCTTATATATTACATAGTATTTCTTATATATTTTCATATATATATTTCTTATAGATTCCCTCTAAATTCACTTATAAAGCCTTTATTTTATGTGGTTTTAAGCAGCGAATGGTGTGAGTTATGGATCTAACAAGTTTCATTTCCCCTAAAATAGCTGTAACATTATTCCATAGTCTATTCTTTCTCTATTGCTGTGAAAGTATACTCTTAACAGATACCAAGTTCCTATATGCATGGAGGTCCTTTTGTGAACTCTATTCTGATATTTTTTTTTCAGTTCCTGCATTAATATTACAGTGTTTTAATTAAAGTTACTTTATTTTTTATTTTTTTCTGCTATCTGGTAGGCTGAGTTCCCATATTTTCATTCTACTTTAGTTTTTTTCTTTGCTATTTTTGTGCATTCATCTTTCATATGATAATGTCAGTCTATGAACTATGCCACCCCTCTTCTATTATCCTCAAAATCCCATTGGTGTTTTGATTGTGATTATGTTGAATTTATAAGTCATGGGAATCTGACATATTTGAATATTGAGTGCACTCATTTAGGGACTTGGTTTATCAATCCACCTATTCTTTGATAATCTCTAGCAACATTGTTTTGTTTATTGAGACATGGTCTTGCTCTGTCACCCAGGCTGGAGTGCGGTGGCAAGATCTCAGCTTAGTGCCGCCTAAAACTTCTGGGCTCAAGTGATCCTCCCACCTCAGCCACCTGAGTCTCTGGGACAGCAGGTGCGCCACCACCACCGGCTAATTTTTGTATTGTTTTGTAGAGGTGGGATTTCGCCATATGGCCCAGGCTGGTATTGAACTCTTGAGCTTAAGGCATCTGCCCATCCCAACCTCCTAAAGTGCTGGGATGACAGGCATGAGCTACCGCACTCTGCCCTTAGTAACATTTTAAAGTTTTCTTCAACAAATAAACTCATTTTAAAGAGAGTTTGTAATTTTTATTCCTATTGAGAATGAGTTCTTTTTCTTGATTAGATTTTTCTAGATAGACTTTTAGGTCCATATCTTAACAGTTTTTAAGTCAAAAATAATATTTTCTTTTTATTTCTTTTAATTTTTTTCTCTTTATCTCTGAAAATAATATTTTCAAATAATGATGATTTTATATTTATATTTCACAAGTGTGTGTGTTTGTGTGTGCACGTGTGTGTATACTCTTCTAATTTATTTATATTACTTAGGTTGGGAGCGTTCTGGAGGAAAACTGACTAACAATAATGACAGTAGTAGGCATCCACATCTTATTCCTGACTAATGGGAACAAGTCTGTGGTTTCTATTAAGTATTATCAAGCTTAAATAAATCATTTCTGATAAATATCTTTCATCAAGTTATGGAAGTTTCTTTTTATTCTTAGCTTACTAAAAGAATTTTTCAAAAATCAAGAATGGGGATTGAATTTTAGTCATTGCCCTTTTCAATATCTATTGGAAATATAGTTTTTCTCCTTTAAATTTCTAATGCTGAATAATCTTTATATTCTCAGAATAAACCTATTTGGCTGAGGTATGTTCGTATTTTGGGAACTGCAGAATTTAACTTGCCAATTTTATTTTTAGAATTTTTGCCTATACATTCATAAGGTTTTCCATTTTGGGCACTCCATGGTGTCTTACTATTAAATTTAAACATATCTCGTAAAATAAATTCAGAATTTTATTATCTTTGTAATGCTTTGTAACAGTTTAAATAAGAACCATTTATTCCTCAAAAGTTTTATAGAACTCTCCCATAAAACCATCTGGGCCCTGTGGCTTTTGCTAGATCTTTTACAAACTAGTGTGGGAGATAGGTAGCAGGTGCCTGCAGTCAACCAGCATGCCTGGCATACTCAATGGAGATAGAAATAAAGAAGTGTCCTGGGCAATACTCAGGCCCTTGAAAAAGGGAGTTTGGATTTAGAGAGTTCAGGCATTTCTCTTAAGGTCACCACTGTTTATTTAACTTTGACTTTTTTGTCTTTTCTCCTCTCTTCTTCCTGTGTTCTCAGTTCTTTTCAAGGATACCCTTATCGAGTTATGCTGCTCCTCCTGGTCTCAACCAGTTTCTGTTTAGCAGCCTCTGCTTTGCCTTCTGCCTGGTAGACCTACATTCATCCAGAGTTGGGAGTGAGACAGTTGTCATCCTAGACAATGGCAAGGAGAAAGGAATACGAGGAAACATTTCATTGCAAAGCAGAGTTGGGGCTCTCACATCAGGATGAGACTCATTCTACTTTGTGACTTAACCAGCCCTTTTGAAATAAAACAGCTCTCATCCTGTCTTGCCATTGAGAGACTGAACATGCAAGTGGACAATGCCCAAACTACATATAATAATAAAACTCTGGGCCACCACCTCTGTAGCAACCAGCTCACAGACCCAACCACAATCTGCCCAGTAGAGTGAGGACCTAATCAGTGACTGCCAGCTTCCTTATTTTTGTCCCTACTTTCAACTCAGGACCAATCAGAGAAAGCCAAATATGCTCCCCTAACCAATCACTTAGGATGCCCTACCTCTGGTTTGCTCACTTCCAGTGTCTCCCATGTCAGCAGCCTCCAATCAGGGTGTACCTGGAGCCTTCCCTTTCTCACTATAAAGCTTTCCCAGTCCGTGCCTGCCTCGGAGTCCCTGCCAAATGCAAGTGATGGTGCTGACCCCCTTGCCGTAGCAAGCCCCTGTCTGCTCTCCCTTGGCTAGTCTTTGTTGATTTTCACACCGCCTGGCTGTGAGGACTAAACAAAGTTAGCTGGCAATGCAGGTGAAGGCAGCGGCCTGGCACCCAGAAGGGCAGGCAAATAGCCACATCCTGAGAGCAGGATTCCTTTACACTGAAATGGAGCAGGGGTGGCCACCTAAGAAAGGAGAGGAAATCTGCCTGGCAGGGTTGCCTTGTGTGTGTGTGTAGAATTTCTCTTTGAAAAGACCAAGCCAGACTCTTCCTGTCAGTGAGCAAGGCCCCAGCTTGCACTAAGCCCTTTTGTGTGCTAATGTGAACAGGTCTGCTCAGCACAGACAGGGGGGTGTGTGGGCAGATGTAGAGCAGTGCCTCTCAGTCTGCCCAGTGCACACCAACCACTTGTGGCACTGTGTCACAGGGCCCAGCTCTCCCTCCTTAGCCCATCTGGCAAGGACACCATTTCTGGGCACTCTCATCAATGCTGACCTCTTCCTCCCTGGGGGTGGGAGAAGGGCAGGCTCCCTGGGTTAGGTGGTTTATATGGATCAAAGCTTTTAACCTCACAACAACCACATGGGGAGGTGTGATTGTTATTATCTCCATTTTACAGATGAGGCACATAGGGTCACCCAAAGTCACTCAGCTTGTAGGTAGAAGGGTGAGACTTTAAGCCCAGCAGGAACTGTGTTAGCAAGTCTTGCCTCCAAACCACCACTAAAAGATGCTCCCACCACACTCCCCAGCCCAGACACCCTGACAGTTCCTCTTTGGATTCAGAAGGATTAGCAGAAGAAGAACTGTCTGTCAGTGATATGGCAGGGCCGGTTCTCTGGACACGGAGTGACTCAAACTGCAACTCCTGGCCAAGCACATTCACCTGCATCGGGCTCTTTGCTTGTTGAAGTTCTGTCTAATCTATTAACAGTGTCTTTCCTGCAAACTGGAAATGTCATCCACTTTTATCCTTTTCAAGAAAGGCTCTTCGCCTCAGTGCTTGCTGCTTGCCCAGCTGTTCCCTCTGGAATGAGAACTGTGTGCCAAGTGAAGCAAACAGCCGGGAATCAGGATGTTCCCACCAATCTTAGAAGAGGCTGTGAAGGTCAGAGCTGCCATGGGTCTGCAGTGGGTAGAGTGGGATGGGGGTTATGCTCCACTTCAGGCACATTGGCCTGAGAGGCTCTGCTGAGGCAATCACAATTGCCAGCCTCCGTGCTGCCAGACAGCCTCACTCCAGGTCCAACCTGCTCCTCCTGCATCCCCAAATGAATGAGATATTGTAAGAAAAATGATGGTTTCCAAGCTGGGCGGGGGGACGGCTGATGATAGTAACACAGGTTCATAACCTTCTAGATGCAATTCCAACAATTCCCCAGAGCATGAAAATCAAAAGCATTTTTGGTATGTTTGGTGCTAAAACTCATATCCCGGCCACATGCGGTGGCTCAAGCCTGTAATCCCAGCACTTTGGGAGGCCGAGGCGGGTGGATCATGAGGTCAAGAGATCGAGACCATCCTGGTCAACATGGTGAAACCCCATCTCTACTAAAGATACAAAAAATTAGCTGGGCATGGTGGCGCATGCCTGTAATCCCAGCTACTCAGGAGGCTGAGGCAGGAGAATTGCCTGAACCCAGGAGGCGGAGATTGTGGTGAGCCGAGATCGCGCCATTGCACTCCAGCCTGGGTAACAAGAGCGAAACTCCGTCTCAAAATAAAATAAAATAAAACAAAACAAAATAAAATAAAATAAAATAAAAATACTCATATCCCACTTAGTATGAATAATTATACAACTTACTGCAGGAATAGCAATGTGTTTGGTTATTGGGTGTTAACCTCAGACTCTGCTGGGGGCACTGCATAATGCCTGGCATGTGTACCATATCACCTTTCTCGAGCTGAAAGAGTCAGAATTCTGAATCACATCTGGCCCCCAGGGTGTCAGTATGAGATTCTGGACAGACCTGTAATAACTAATGCTAAGGGCTTTACACAGATTATCTCATGAATGACATACAACAACCCCAATTTTATTATCATTACTCTACAGATAAGGAACCAATGGCAGAGGCAGCGGGGAGGAAGAACAGCGGGGTGTCTTGCCTGAGCCCATACAGATGGGAGCAGCTGCCTTTCTCCTACAAGGACATATTAGATTTGGGGCCCACCTGGATAATCCAGGGTAAGAGCCTCCTCTCAGGATTCTTAGATATCGCTTTCGCCATATAAAATAATATTCACTCTTTTGCATTTTAGGTAGTATTCATAGATTCGGGGGACGAGGAAGTGAATATATCTTTGGAGGGCCATTGTTTCAGCCTGCCGCAGTGAAATACTGTAGTCTGTTCATATTGGCTTGCAAGAGTTTATGTTGTAAAGTACAGCCATTATTAAAAAATTAAACTGTATGCTGGCTGTGGTAGCGCATACCTATAATTCCAGCTACTTGGGAGGCTGAGGCAGGAGGATTGCTTGAGCTCAGGAGTTCAAGACTAAGCAAAATAGCGAGGTCCCACCTCATTATTTTTTTAAAAAGCATATCCCAATTGAGGGGTATTAAAAAGGAGGAAAAAAAACTATAGTTACTATTAAATAAATTACATTGAAACAAAATAAGTATACAAAATACACCACTTACAATTATTTTACTACATTTTGCTATTGTCTGTTTATACCATGGAAATCGGTAAATGCTATAAATCAGGACTCTTTGCTTTGGAGAGCCGCTGGAAAGAACGATCCCCCTGAGGAGTGCCAGAAGGGTTCTCGAGATTTCAGGTCCACTTAGGGAAGAGAGCTGGGTGGGGAAGCCACATCTGCTCCCTTCAAGAATCTCAGACAGAAAATGCTGACCCCTGTTGGTGGAGAGAAATATGGTCATTGTTCCTCAACAGAAGAGAGCCCAGGTGACTCCAGGGAGGCAGCTGCCAGGAGCTGTAACTTATCCCAGTGGGGCTCGTGGTGGAAGCAGGTGGTGTGGGATGACGGATTGCGCAGGTCTCATGATGTTTCGAAGGATATGATGGGAACGATAAACCACTCTGCTTGTGAGAAGCCTGTCCCTCCGTCCCTGACTGGAACATCTGTCAGCCTTGCACTGCCTTGTGAATGGGCAACATTGAGCTTGTCTGGGGAGGAGCTCACTCTAAGACAGTCATAAGCACCACCTGGCATGTTCTGAACATTTACAGTGGTCCCATGCTATGCCAGAAGCTTTAGATACTTCCTTATCTCAAACTCTCACAACTCCACAAGGTAGGCATTATTGTTCCCGTTTGACAGATAAGGAAACTAAGGCTCAGAGAGGGTGGGTCACTTACCCAAGGTCACAGAGCAGATTACTGATGGAGTTGGGATTTGAACCCAGGTCTGTTTGATTCCAGAGCCATTGGTCCCAATCACTATAGCATCCTTCCTTCTTTCTTACATTCGTTTATTCACTTATTCAACAATTATTATCAAGCAAATTTCCCACAGAGATCATAGACTTTGGAAGGAGTAAGAATGCTGTGGTGGCCCAGGTTCCCGATGCTTGGAGAGAGGCCTGATCTTCCATAGTGTGTCTGGCTGTCAGAGTGTGTGTCTTGGTGTTGTGTTTGGGAAGCATGTCTCTTGTAACTGAGGACACAGAAAGCCTGGGAGGGTAGACAAAGCACTGTCGGCAAAGGGGGTCAAAGGAAGAGCCCTGCCTACACAGAAGTGCAGGAGGGACCTCTGTGAATATTGAGATAGTTCCCCTTGGCCTGGGCTCCTGGGTGCGTGAACGGCCACCACCGACCCTCTGAGGCATGCTGGCTGGCTCAGGTGCACTTCCTCCATCTCCCTCCTGGACCACGCATTTTCCTTTTGCCCAGGCAGGAGGTTTTGGCTCTGAGGCCTGCATTGCTACTGACATGGGTCTTTCCTTCCCTCACACATGCACCTACTCTGGCCCAAGGCCTCTTCAATGGGCGGGAGGCCCAAGGGGATTTCTTATGATTTCTCGGAGGGACTGTGGAGTTCTTCCTCCTCCGTTGCCCCCCAGTCCCCACGCTGGACCAGCATAGGTGCTGCCTGAGGCCTCTCCTGACCTATCTTGGGTCCTGGTTAGCATTGCTCAGGGGATGCTCATTTGGCAGTCTGGAGATATGGCATTTAGGTCTAGGGGCTGAAGGCTTTTGGGGTGGCTGAGAGCTCAGTCTCTGGGACCTCTGGGCAGGGCACATTGGGTGGTTTTGTCCAAGCAACCAGGGAAGAATCACTGAGTCTCCAAGGCAATGTCACCAGGGAGGAAGGTGTCTCTAGGTGGAAACTCAACACATCTCACACAGCAGTAGAGGTAGCACCCAGGTTGTGCAGGAAAATAGCACTGGGGTCAAGGGTCCAGTGCACTTGGAAGAGGCTGGGTAGGGGAGAGCACTGGACTGCAGCAGTGTCCACCCTGGGAGGCTGTAGGGCATAGGAGGTAGCACCTGTCAGGGAGATGGTAGAGTCAGGACTAGGGAACCCCAGAGGTGGTGTTGGTTGGAGGGGTGCTGGCAATGGGAAGGGGCTTGGCCTATAAGAAGGAAGCAGGATTACTTGTAGATGGAGAAGGAGCCACATGCGAGGATCTGAGAAATGCTAAGGAAGTCTAACTTGACCCTGCTGACCTACTGCTAGTGTCCAAAATTCCACTGTAGGACCGAGCTCCTCGTAAGGACTCCTAGGGAACATCTAGCCTTTTGAGGCAGGTGCAGGGAGACAGTAGTAGGTGGAGTGAGAGGTCCACCACAGGCATGTCCCTGACCCAGAGCAGGCTGAGGTGGGTGAGCTCTGGAGGGTCCCTGGTTCACCCGGGAGTGGAGGCCCAGGGCCCCTTAAGGTGTAGGTATTAGTAAAGTCACTTAAAGCTGATGGATATGAGGATATAGATTTTTACAGTCTTCTGTGTGTGTTTTCCCAGCAACATTTCCCATGGGATCATTGTATACCACAGACTCTGAATAACACCAGGAAACAGAGCTTTGCCTCCCTATGTCCATGTGTCAGGTGAGTGTTGCACTGGGCATCACCTTGGGTACAGGGAGCATGACCCAAGAAACTGGGCCTAAAGGGAATGCTAAGGGTGCCCTGCTTCTTGGACATCTGATTGCCAGTTCTCATGACTGCTGCTTCATTTAAAACTTAATTGTAGTATGATATCAGAACCAAGAACTTGACATTGGTACAATATGTGTGATTCCACAGTCCTGTTATCACACACCCACATACAACAGTGGGGTTAGGATCCCAGGCATCTTGGATGATTTTCACATCAGGAATGAATGAATACATCCTTTCTCTGCCCTGCCCACATGGAAGTTCTGCTGCCCACATGAAGGCACATCTAGTTCTGGCGAGTGACCATGGTGAATGTCAGGGATGGGGTGCCCAATCTCCACCCCACCTTCCTTCTACGGAGACTTCCTGCACTGCTGAGACCAAAAAGCTGCACACTCCATTACCCAGGCTCCCTTGCAGCTGGGCTTTGGATGCAAATTAGATTCTACCATTCGGATGTACTCCTGGGAGGGCCGTCCTCCTGTGTGGACATCCTCCTGTGCCTTTTAGCTATTTTCAGTTCACAGGCAAAGTGGTGGAGATGAGAGGTGTTCTAGAGCAGCCTTCAGTATCCACTTGCCAGCTTTCTGGGTCCCAAGAGTGGGAGGCTGGCAGGGTGTGGCTGGACGGTGATTCTAGTGCCCAGTCACCAGCTTTGTGATGGTTGAGAGGTTGTGACACTGCTGACAGCATCGTGATCCCTAGATCCCAGCTCCATTTGTGGTTCTTTAGCTCACAGCCCCAGCAGCAGCCTCCAGGATTGTGGTGGCTGCAGAATTGAGGCCTATCCTGGAGCACTCTCCCCTAGATCTTCCAAGGATTTCTTAAACACTTTCTGTTTTGAAAAAAAAAAAAAATTCACAGAAGTTGCAAAGATGGTATAGGAAGGTCCTGTGTATCCTTCACCCAGTTTCTCCCATAGTTACAGCTTCCTTAATTGTAGTGCAATATCAAAACCGAGAACTTAACACTGGTACAATATGCGTGATTCCACAGTCCTGTTAATCACGTGTACATTCATCAATCACCACAGCAATCAAGGTAAAGAACTGTTTCATCACCACAAAGATCACACCTACCCCTTTCACTCTCTCCCATTCCTAATCCCTGGCAACCACGAATCTGTTCTCCACTTTTATAATTTTATCATTTCAAGAGGAACGTTACATAAATGGAACCACCCAGCATGTAAACTTTGGAGGTTGGCTTTTCTTCCACTCAGCACAATGTCTTTGAGACCCACCTAAGTTGTCGATGTATCAGTAACCCACTCCTTTGTGTTGCTGAGTGGTATTCCATGGTATGGATGTGCCACGGGTTGTTTAACGATTTGCCCATTGAATGACATCTGGGTCATTTTCAGTTCTTGGCTATTGCAAATAAGTCTGCTTGGAACATTTGTGTACAGGCTTTTGGGTAAACATAATTTTCAATTCTCTGGCATAAATGCCCAGGAGTCCAATTTCTGAGTCATAGGGTAAGTATATGTTCAATTTCTTAAGAAACTGCTCATCTATTTCACAGAGTACCATTTTACATTCTTACCAGCAATGAATGTAAACCCAGCTGTTCTGCATGTTTGCTGGCATTTGGTGGTGTTGCTATTTCTTGTTTTAGTGGAAGTGTGGTTGAGTCTTCCCTTGCCACCAATGTCTCTATATTTGAACTTGGAAAGTGGGGATGGTTTGGGGATACTGAGGGATTATTACCCTGATGGTTATATAGTAATCCACCCCACCCCATTAGGAAAAGGTAGTATTTCAAAATATTGTTTATCATAAATTCAAATTGAATTGGGTGTACCTTACTTTTGTTTGCTAAATTTAGTAACCCTAGGAAAAGGTTAACCTACCTGAACCAGTCAAAAGTCTGAAAGTACAACACTCAAAAACACATCATTTGATTATTTCCACTAGATGTAAGCTCCCAGAGGCAAAGATTACATCTTCTTATACTTTTTATTCCAAGGACCCAGGATAGAATTATCTCAAATTCTAAATTAACTGTGTGTGACTTCATGAAATTTTTTCTTTGAAAAGAGAAATGAAACTTCTGTGATTAAAGGACACACACAGCTTTCTGACTATACTGCTGTTTGGAAGGGGTGTGTTTTTAAAAATGTTAATTGGAATTTATTTGGTTTTCAAAAATTCATATATAAAAATGAAAGCAGAAATGACACAGCCTAGTAGCCGCCTGCGTATCCCTGACCCCATGTCCTTTTAAGGTAACTCACTCTGCCCGCCCGCTTTCCCACAGGCTCAGTGTGGCCAGAGCTGATTGCAAGCCTGGCTTTATGCTGCCGCTGGGGTGGGACCTGGACCCTACGACGTGCACCCTCCTGAAGGGAGGCCCACAATGCTGGTCCACAGGCCGATGCTGCCTTGTTTCACTGACTCTGGTGCTGACTGCAGGGGCCTGGCCAGACCATCATCGTCACCAGCACTGTGGGCTGGGAGGGTGCAGGGCTGCATTCCTGCAGATACCAATGGTGGCAGCACATCTCTGCCTCCCTTCCGTCCTTCACTGCATCTGGAAGAGGACTACTCGGAGGCCTGAAACTGCCCTCCTGTCCTGAAGGGTGGAAACCCTGCTTAACTACATCTTCCGTCAGCTGTGGGCCACACGGATTGTCCAGCAGGGCCTGGTGCAGAGGTTGGTACACTTGGACAGCCTGACTATATCAGGCTGTGGCTGAGTAGCAACAGCTGGAGGCTGGTCAGGGGCTGAGGAACACTTGAAGCATTCCTTGTGGGTTTAAGTTCCCATCTGGGCCCCCTGCCCAGACCTGGCACTCCCCTACTGCCACCCCACCTGCAGCCAACAGGATGCTCTCAGAGCTGACTCATGGTGGGGGTCAGGGGGAAGAGGAGCAGAGGCCAAAGGCTGAGGAGCTCTGGCCCAGGGACCCACTGGGTTACTTGTGACAGGCTTTGGTCTAGAGCTGCTTGTGTATCCCAGACCTCAGCTGTCAGGCTCTTGATTGCTAAGATGAAGATTTATAATAAACAGGATAGAGAAATGTAAATGCCCTTAATGTTACATAAGCTCTTATCACTTCTGTATATTTATATATGAATAACTATATATATACATATATGTATGAGTCACAAGAAATTATATATTCATCCCCCTATGAATATGGGGATGATAGAGAGGGTCTCTATCATGTAGGGGTGTGTGTGTTACATGGATGTATGTATTGGTCAAAACTCAGGTAACTACACAGAAGATCTGTCTTTTTCATCATAAACACCAATAATTTTTTTTTTTTTAAAGCAGCAGCAGTAAAAGAAAAAATGCTGCTACTACTCAGTGCTGTCAAGGGGTGGCCTGGGCTGCTGGGCATAAATCCAGCTCCTCCACGGAGCCTGGGGGAAGGAGGCTGATTTCCCAGGGATTCTACACAATGTTCTCTAGCTAACCAAAGTCTTGTTTCCAAAGAATAGTCATCAGTGACAAGGCAAAGTGTTCATGTTACAATGTTAAAGAGAAAAAAAAGGGGGCAAAGTTTCACATAATGCAGATTCCCAATTTGTAAAAAGACAGTTTGGACAAAAGCAGAGATGCATGTATTGATGGAGCCAAGGAACCATTCAATGAGCTTTCCCTTGGCTGTGACCCACATGTCACAAACCCTCACTGAGCTCCCAGCCTGTGAGCAATGATCTGCAGAGAGGTAAGTGCTTCCCTGGAGACCGTGGTGGGACCAGCAGGGTTAGGGCTTTGTAGGTGAGACAAACTGGGTTTTCAGGAGAGCTGGCCCTTGTGCTGAGTGGTCTTCCTTTTTAATCAAGGTGTGCCACACAGAAAGCACGGAGGTGAGTGAAGTGTACTAATCTACATGTAAGCAGGATGACTTTTCTCAATGTCCACGGTGCAGCCACCAACCAGACCACAATGATGGCAACCCCCAGGTGTCCTTGTGTCCATTCCAGTCTTTACCCCCGTTCCCGGTAACCACCATTCTGATTTCCATCGCCATAAGTTTGTATTCCTGTTCTAGGACTTTATACAAATGGAATCATACAATACGTCTGCCCTACCTTCTTTTACTCAATGTGGTCTGAAAGTTCACTTCATTCTTTTTAAAATTATCGTGTCCATTGCGTGAATATACCTGTTGATGGACACTTGAAACACTTATGTCGTTTGGCTATTAGGAGAAGAGCTGTGGACATTTTAAGACATGTCTTTTTGCTGACATAAGCACTCATTTCTCTTGGGTGTATATCAAGAAGTGGAATTGCTGAGAGATAGGGCAGCTAAGTGCTCAGCTTTAGTACAAACTGCCAAATGGTTTTCCAAGTGGTTGTGCCATTTCACTCCCCTAGCCCCAGCAGTATCTGAGATCTCTGGCTTTGAGCTACGTCTTGATGTGTGGTTCTCATGGCATTTTATGGTGGTGGCAGATGGAAGCTACAGTTAGGGAGAAAGATATTCTGGGTAAAAGGAATGACATAAGGATGCATGGCGACCATGAAAATGCATCATTCAGATCTCCTGTGGCAGAGAACATGGATGGCCCAGCTGCTGTGCCGAATTCACCAAGGTACTGATGCAGAGGCCACATTTCCCACCGCGGCTCCCAGCTGATTAGCATGGTGGGGATACTTATCTAATGGACACCTTCAGCTCAAGAACTCCCCATCAGCCTGGTTAAAAGGTGTGCCATATAGAAAGCACAGAGCTACAGCCTGACGCTCCACCTCCCCTCCCCGGCTTTTTTCCCACTCCCCTTTACAGGAGTCAGACCTGCAGCAGGTCTCTCTAACAACAAAAAGACCAAAACTCCTTCTTTCTTCAGGGCAGACTTGACCTTGGGCGAACTTTCTAGCCCTGCTCCCATGGAAGCCAGACAAGCGTTAGCTGAATGTCAGGTGCGGTATCAGGCAAAACCGGCCATGGGAGTTTTTGATTGATAAACTACACCTGGACTGGAGGGACAAATAACCTACACCAACTGGTAAGAAACCATAGCCTTAGGCTTCCCTAAGTGCAGAAACTCCTAACTGGGCATGTCCTTTGAGGGGCCCTGCGAACTCTGATTGCGGGTTGTTGAAAACACACTGACTCCTATAGGGCATGGGCTTCTGAACCAAGGTGGCCTTCAGGACTACTGACGTGAGGACTGCTCCTGTGGAAGGGAACTGCTGGCATGGTCCTGCTGGCACACTAAGCATCTATCTCCATCCTTCTAAGCACCTCTGATGCCAGGTATGGTCTGTCCTCTTGTGAGTCTGAATGTCTAGTTGAGCCTAAGAAAACCTATTGTGGATTCAGGGAGGAAGCTCCCCTCAGACCTCTCCCACCTACTTCGAGGCTTTCATCCCATGTAGGTGGAACTGTGATATTAGTCCAGCAAGTCAAGATGAAATCCAACCAGCTTGCTCACTTCACCGTTCTAGCCGTGTCTCCCTAGCTAACAATCAGGATTAAAGCGCACCTGGGTTTTGATGACCAGCCCTCCTTCTTCCCATCCAATAAAAAAACTTCACCAAGATGCTTAGAATCATTTAATGAATGTTCCAAACATACCCTTCACTGGGCTATGGGTAAATTTCACTGGGATGGAAGCAGATGAACCACTCAATCAAATAGCACATGATTACTTGGTTTCCAGAAATCTGGACACCAGAAAAACTCAGTAGAAAACATCAGGATCACCTCCTAGCCAGAGGTTCCTTGTGATTCTTTCTTTCCTTCCTCTCCTCTTCCTCCTCCTAAGGAACTTCTCCAGGGGTATGAACGTTCAGGATGGGAGAAGGTGGGGTTGCGTCCTGTATCTCCAGGACAGAGAGGAGTGCTGTGACACCTCACCCCAGAGGCAACAAGATGACAGGGAGGCACAGGCCTGCTCAATAAATAGACAATAGAAGTCTCCACAGTGGGATTAACAGGCTCAGGGAAGCTGAACTGCAGGAGCCACCATCCCAAGGCCAGGCTGTGGCCCACTCACTACGTGCTGCACACCAGCACATCTGCAAAGGGTCCCAGGAGGATCTTGTTGAAGATGCAGCGGACCCACACCAGGTAGGTGGTGAAGGGTTTGATGTTCTCAGTGAAGGTGTGATTCTGCAGGGCCAAGATGTAAGGCACATAGTTGTTCTCTCCCTGCTCCTGCAGCCACACCTCATACTTCACCTCCCTTACCTTCAGGTACTTAAGGTTCCATGGGATCTGCCAGGAGATAGTGAGGCGGGCCTCGGAGGCGCCATGCACTGATGCCTGGCACCGTGCATCCCGCACCTTGCCTGGATACAGGCCAACTGTCCACTTCTGCTTCCGTGGTCCTGGCCGGCCCTTCACCACGCGCCGTATGGTTTGAATGAGGGATGGGATGTCCACCCTGGTGTCCTGGTAGATTCGGAAGAGCCACTCAGGGTTCCGGCAACAGAGATGCCGTGGGACCTCGCGGCTTTGCAGGATACGGGCTTGCTCAGCCCGGTCCAGGTGGGTGATGCCCCCCTGGTCCCAGGGCCGCTCAGGGTGTGTGACTGTGTTCTCTGGCATCATGTTCCGCCAGGCTACATATTGGAGGTCCATGCCAGGCAGCATGGTCAGTGTCTTATAGGGAGTATAGTGGTCGGGATTGACGGCATATGGGAAGAGCTCCACCACAGTTGCCCCACGGGGCAGGAAGAGGGTGGTAACCAGCTGGGCCCCATGCATGCTGACCAGCATGGAGGCGTTACTGACCAGTCGCACGACATCAGCAAAGGTGTGGTCCTCCAGGGACACTGTCACTGTCTTCATCTGGAACTCCTGGGCCAGTGCCAGCAGCAGCTCTGCTTCATTCAGGATGAGTCTGTTCTGGGTTCGGCTAAAGACCAGAATGTACTCCTCACCTAGTGGGGCTCCTGCCTGGCTCACATTAAGCTTTTCTGTCATGAACTGTGCAAACTGCCGGATCTCACTGCCTGAGACGAGGATGTTGGCCTTCGGGCCCTGGGGCTGGACAAAGCCATATTGGTACCAGGTGGTGATCTTGGAGAGGCCCACGAAAGCATGGGAAAAGCACAGCAGCCGGCCTAGGGTCTTCAGCTGTGCCCGCAGGAGAGGCTGCTTGGGGCTAAGCAGCTTGTAGAGGTCGAAGTGTGCACCCTCACCCCAGCCCTCCATAAAGAAGAGCCGTGCCTCGTGGGCCAGGCCAGGAAACTGCCGCAGGGTGTAGAAGAGTGGCAGCAGGTCGTCGTGGAAGACGTGCATGAGGTTGTCGGGGTTGAAGCGGTTGGCGATGAGGGCCACGTCTGGCACGATCACTGGCTTGGGCATGAAGCGCAGGGCAGCGGCAGGCAGCTCCACGAAGTTGAAGTACTGGGTGTTGTGGTCCTCCACAGTGGACAGGTCGAGCAGGGCTGGCTGGAAGCGCCGGGAGCCCAGGTTGGGCAGCATGACAGAGGTGTTGCCATGGAAGAAGATGAACTCCTCAGCCTCATTGGAGTAGCAGAGCCACTTGAAGCGGCAGATGCGGTCTGTGTGCGTGCGGCCTGTGCACACCATGTGTGTGCCGCCCTCCATCAGGATCTGCAGTGCCTTTGGGTAGTCGATCCTTAGTGTTGGCGCTGGGTCTGAGGCCTGTTGGCTGAGGGCCAGCTCCTCCTCCAGTGTGGCCGCATGCTCACGCAGCCGCACATGCTTCCACAGGACCGCCGCCAGCACCGACACCAAGAGGGCGTTGAACACTGCTGAGAGGTGCATCCTAATGCCACCGTGTGGCCCTAGTGAGATGACGGCCACTGGGAAGCACCACAGGCCAGGCGGGCCTCACCCATCCCTATGGGCATCCCAAGGACTGGTGAAAGCCTGTGGCAGGAGAGAAGGAAAAGAAAAAGGAGTTGGCCCAGTCTGCCTGGCATCATTACAAGCTCCTATGTGCCAGGCACTGTGCAAGGCTCTGTGTGCCTGCTACAGCACTGGATCCTTGCAGCCAGTGTGCATGTTGGTAGGCATAGATTAGACCACTGTTTAAAATAGTCACTCCCTCCCCATCGCCTGCATGTTGGAGAATACATCCCCACACCTGACTTCGGGCTTAGCTACTTAACATGCTTTAGCCACTGAGATGTCAGCAGGCAGAACATAATCAAAGGTTTGGAAAGTGTTTGGGCTGGCTTTGACCTCTTTATGACACTGCCATAAGAAGAATGTATTCAGGCTAACTTGCTGGCCCTAAGAGTAGTGAGATACAAGTGAGGAGTGAGATACAGCTATATCCTGTCTGGCTCAGCTGATCCTCCATGACTGAGTGGGCCCAGCCAAGAGCAGCAGCACCATCAGCCAAACCCAGCCAAGATAAGCCAACACATAGACATCTGGGCTGACCAACAGCTGATTAAACATCCCTAAAATTCTGGGTCTGTTTGTGCTGAAGCACTGCTGCAGCAAAAGCTAACCAAGAGAGGTATCTATGATGACAGGCCATAGGAAAATCCCTTGCAGGGGTCTGACACTCCTGGACTGCCAGGTAATGACTTCCTTAAATGAGAACAACTGGCATTGGAGACCTGTGAACACTGTTCCCAGGTTGCACACTGAGACTCTGGTACGCCGCCTCTGAGAGACACACACATGTAAGAACAGGGGTAGGTCAGCTAAGCTTTGCTCTTGCTTAAAGCTCCTTTAGAACTCATGCCTGCTGAGTTTTAGAATCCCTTAGGAGGGTAGCATCTCATCCCCTCAGTCGTAAGATAATTGTATCTGGGTGTCACCAATGAAAAATGTTTTGTACACTGAGGCAAAAAACCCAATAGTGTTTTAAATGGCCTCTCCCCGACACACCGAGAGAGAGGCCTGGCTAGGAATGGGCATTTACTTCTTCTTCTTGCAATATTGTGAAGGGTATCATGCCTGCTCTGGGACCCAGGATTATTCAGACAGTGGAAGAAGCTCATCCTTAGTGACACAGGAGCAGCACAGGTAACACCTGACACCTGCCAAACACTGCACCGTCAGTGACTAGGTCCTGATGCAATTCCCACCTCCCTGCAATAGAAAAAATCAAAGTGCAATCATGCCCAGAAAGAGAAGGTATCTTCAGCTAGATTCTCCAAGAAGCAGAGTCAAGGGCAAGGATTTGAATCCAAACATTTTGAGAAATTATCCTATGAAACACTTGTAGGAGAAAGGGAAAGTGAGACAGAGAAGGGACCAAAGCCAATACATAGAGGGCACATTAATGAACAGCTAATGCCATGCATGGTCTTCCTCCCATGATCACATGCTGGGTGTAGTATGGAAGCTGGGATGTGTGTCTGTCAGCTCCTGTCGGGCATTACTTAGTTGAAGGCCATTCCTGGAGGCATGAGATCTCTTCTGGACTATTCTTATCCAAAGGTTGGGCCCACATATATGAATAGATACTCCCAAATTTCAGGAAATGAGAAGTACCCTGACCAGGTAGAATACACTCTAGCTTCCCCCCCGCCACCTTTTTTTTCTAGTACACTCTTATTCTAAGGTAATTAAAAAAAAAAAAAGCTGCCCATAATCATCTTAATTAACTTTCCAACCTACTAATGAGGTTGGCAACTTGCTATTTACAAAATACTGGTCTACTCCAGATACTCTCAAGCCTGGCTGATTACTGGAATCCTCAGGAGTACTTGCTACACAAACTCCTGTTCCCAGGCAGCAGTCTTGGAAGTTGATTCGGTAGGTATGGAGTATGGCTCAGCCATCTGCTTTATTTGTTTCTTTTTTTTTTCTGCCTTCTTGTGAATTACCAGAATTCCACTTGGATTTATCAGTAGTGTTTTTGAGTATATCTCTTGGTATAGATATTCTGGTGGTTGCTCTAGGCATCATACTATCACTGTCTACTGGTATTGACATTTTACCTTTTGAATAATTGTAGAAACTTTACCTCCACCTAGGTTCCTTTATAATATAGTTGTCTTATGTATTTCCTCTACATATAATGAGACCCACATCAGACAGTAATTTTGGCTTCAATTGTCGAGTATGATTTCCTCATGAGGGAAAGGATCATCTATTATATTCACCCATATTTTTACTCTATGTTTGTTCCTCATTCCTGAGGTTCCAGGTTTCCTTCCATTCCTGTATCCCTTCTTTGAAGAACTTCTGTTAGTTCGCCATTCTTTTAGGGTTGGACCTCCTGGCAACAAATTCTCTTTGTTTCCTTCGTGTCAAAATGTCTGATTTTAGCTTCATTCCTAAAGGATATTTTCACTGGGTATGGAATTTGGAGTACAGATTTTCCTTCTTTCAGTATGTGAAAAATGATGCTGTCACACCTCCTCTGGCCCCTGTGACTGCTGATGAGGAACTGCCACACTTCAAATTGTTTTTCCCCTGAGGTAATGCATTGTCTGCTGCTGTTCTTAAGATGTTGTTGAGTTTTCAGAAGTTCGACTCTGAGGTGCCTTGGCGTGGGTTTCTTTGGTTTCATCCTCCTCGGGGTTTGCTCAGATTCTTCAATCTGTAGGCTCATGCCTTCCCCCAAATGTGGGAAATAGCCATTATTTCCTTGAAAACTTTTTCAGCCCCACACCACTCCCCTAGGACTCCAATTATACCAATGCTAGATTAAAAAAAAAAAAAAATTGTATTGTCCCACAGGTCTCTGAAACTCTGTTAATTTTTTTCCAGTATTTTTTCTCCCTGTTGTTCAGACTGCATGATTTCTATCATTCTGGCTTCACGTTCACTGATTCTTCCTCTGTCCTCTCCATTCTCGATTAAGCCCATCCAGTAATTTTAAAATTTGCTTACTCTATTTTTCCTATCTAAAATTTCCATTCGGTTCTTTATAACTTCTTTTTTTGCTGAAATTTATCCTGGAAATTTTGGTTATAATGTTATGATACTCTGGATCTTACTTAAATCTTCTATTTTAGTAGCCTCTGCTAAAACTGTGCTGGCAAAGGAAAGGAAAGCACTGACTTTTTACTGCTGGGTGAAGGTGGACGTCCAGGCTCTCTACTCAGCCACCACCAACACCATCGTGGCCGGGAGGGTGCGGGATACTCAGCACAGAGTGTGTGTCTGTAGGTCAAAACCCAGGTTCTGCAGTTGGGCTCCTCTTACACCCTGTGATGTGGATGGAAGTCTAGGCTCCAAGGGGACTATGGTGGTGAAGGACATATGTTAGTATGTCTAGGCTTCCCATCAAGTGGGGAAGGTGTGGGGCAGCCAGTTACAAACTAGGCAAAGGAGGAAGTCTAGGCTATCTGATATGATTTGGCTCTGTGTCCCCACCCAAATCTCATCTTGTAGCTCCTATAATTCCCACATGTTGTGGAAGGGACCTGGTGGGAGATGACTGAATCATGGGTTGGGGGTTCTTTCCTGTGCTGTTCTCATGATATAGTGAATGGGTCTCACTAGATCTGATAGTTTTAAAAACAGGAATTTCTCTGCACAAGCTCTCTCTTTGCCTGCTGCCATTTATGTAAGATGTGGCTTGCTCCTTCTTGCCCTCCACCGTGATTGTGAGGCCTCCCCAGCCATGTGGAATTGCAACTCCAATAATCCTCTTTCTTTCGTGAATTGCCCAGTCTCGGGTATGTCTTTATCAGCAGCATGAAAACAGACTAATACACTATCCATTTGGCCTTTAGTAAAACTGAGGGGTGGAGGGGGAGGCAATTCTCTCTGGTGTTTTGCAGAAATGGGGTATTTACAGGAAAAAAAAATGTTTTGCTAGGAGGCTCCTCCTTTCAGTCCTTTGACAAAAGAGACCAAGCTTCCTTGGGCTTTGTTTTGTTCTAGGCTCATTGGCATTCCTGGATTGCGGGCTTCTCTAGCACCCAAGGTATAATATATAAGAGGCAAGAAGAAAACCCAGAGAACTCACTATTATGTTGTTCTGTGAGTTCCAGGGTCCCTAGTTGGTCCGCTCTTTTCTCCACCTTTCAGTCTTCCACTGTTTTATATATAATGTCCAGTGTTTTTAGCTATATTAGTAAGAGAAATTGGGATAAATCTGTCTACTTCATTTTGACCAGAACCTGAGGTATTCTTGGCATCTGTTTTTATTTTGTTTTGTTTTGTTTTTTTTTTTAACCAAGCTCCCAGGTGATTCTGGGTTACAAATAGATTTGACGAAAACCAAGTAGCTCTTAACCAAAGAAGCAGTCCATGAATCACATTACCACTTTTAAGTTTAAAACCTTGGAAATGTTTTCCTATTTCTTTTGTATATAAATTAGAGTAGGCTCAATGTTATCCTTATAATCACATCACCATCACTCAGTTGCTTTCTGATACATCTTAAGTCAGGAAGATGAGGATCACTGTTAAGCTGGTACAAGAACCCACAAACCCACTGCCTAAGCTGTGGGCAGCAGTGAGCAGCCTACGTGTTAGTTATGCCTTATTAACAGCAACAGCTGGTATGAGTTACTGTTCCGCTTTACTTCACTACAAAATATCTTTTGGGTTTCAACAATACCCATATGCCCATAGGAGTATGCTATACATGTGAATCTTCCCTATCACATATTATAGGGGAAAGACAAGGGACCAAATGTTCCAGCCAGAACCCTGCAGAACTTCAGATCAGGTCTATCACACTTTTGCTGTGTAACAATGGACATGTCGCTCTGCCTCTCTGGCTCCTGGGTGCCTGGATGATCAGGATAAAGTGTCATGCTGACCTTAGCTTCTCACCTGCTCAGCAATCAACTGTGAAGCAGGATGCCAGCAATAAATATAAGCACAGCTAGGCCAGGATACAAAGCAGTGGCTTCATTTTTTTGCTCTCAGAGGAAAGAAAGGAGAGGTGACTCCCATTTAGGCAATCATGTCTACCCAGAACCTCAGACGATGACCTTATTTGGCTAAAGGCTCTTTGCACAGGCAATTAAATAAAAATCTTGAAGTGAGATCATAATGGATGAGGATGGGTCATAAATCCAATGCGACTACCCTTAAAAGAAACAGAAAAAGACACACAGAAAAACAGAAGGTTATGTGAAGATGAAGACAGAGACTGGAGTGATGCAGTTATAAGCCAAAGAACCAGCCTGGGTGACCAAAACCATTAGCAGCAAAATAGACGTGAGGAAGGCTTCTCCCCTGGAGCCTTCAGAGGAGCATGGCCTGCTGACACCTCAGTCTTGGACTTCTAGCTTTCAGAACTGGGAGAGAATAAATCTCTCTCATTTTAAGCCACCAAATGTGTGGTAATTTGTTGCAGCAGCTCTAGAAAACTAATATAGGGACCATAAGAATTCATTTGAAAAAGGGGTTCTGTGCTCTTAAGAAGGAATTCCACTGCTACAAAGGTTAACAACTACTAAGCAAGTCTTCATTTCACCCATAGAAGCAATTTGCCCAACGTCACACAGCAAATCAGGATTAAGAATGGAAGTGTTCTAAAACACACCTGCTATAGTGATGCCTCCCAGTGGGGATGACTGGGGAGGCCAGCAGGTCACCAGCAAGCCTGGCTATGCAGCTTCTGTGTTCAGGTTCTCATGAAGTTAGGTCTCTGCTTTGCCATCCACCTGCCTGGCTCCATCCAGGGCGTGCACCAGTCTGATGTGGATGAGCTGCTCGAACCCTCTTGAGGGGTGGGGACTGGATCCAGGAGAGTCAGAACACCTCAGTCTCGGGAAGCCAACTCCCTAGTTGACTTGTGGGTTTGCTCTTCTGCAGACAATTTTAAAGGTATCACTGATCCATCAGTAGCTATCACATCGTCTCCCAAACCAGCCTGGCTCTGAGCTTCCAGTGCACGACTGGTTGCAGGTAGCTCCCAGAAAAGGATATGCACTGTCTGGGTAAGTTTGAGAAAAAAAGACAGAAGACTCAGGCTCAAATCCCAGCTCCTCAACCTACTGCATGTCCTTTCTGAACTCAGCTCTTCATCAGTGAAAATGGGGGTACAACACCCACCTTATAGGACTGTGGAGGTCAGAAATGATGTATTAGTTGAATTTCATAAATGGTGATACTCAAGCACCTTTCACATATAAAAACCACAGTTTCATTCCATCAGGCTCAACCTCACAGGTGCAGTATATAGCAGAGAGAAAAAGAAAAAGGTTTTAAGGCACCAGATGGTTAATCAAGGGCCACTGGGATACAGACAAAACATTGGCATTTTAAAACATTTTAGACACACTTGGCTGCCTCTATCTGACTCAAAGCAAAAACGGATCAGTACTGAGGCAGGAATTGTCACTTTTCATCACAGTCATTTCAAACAAAGGATTTTAAAAGCTAAGCAGGGGAAGATCCCTTCCAAGGAAGATGGAGACAGACTAGACAATGAACGCTGTCACTGTGTCATCGGTAGCACCTTGGACCTGGTTAGTCACCAACCCTTTGCTTCTTGGGTGTCCAGGTCAAGTGCACTGAGAGATGATGTAATGGATGGTGTTGCTTCCCCCAGCATCCACTGCCCTCTTCCTCCTCCTGACAACATCTCCAGTGTGTCCAGAGAGCCACCCTCCTGCTGACACCCACGAAGCTCAGAGAAGCCCAGACCTTGCATCTCAGGTGGGGTGTCAGCAGAGCCTACTTCTGGGGCCAGTTACTGGCCCAGGCATGGCAAGTTACCTGAGTGGGACCAATCCGGCTGAGGAATAAGGTGTCACACGCCATGTTCTCACCCACAGACAGAAAAAGAAGGCATTGTCCCAGGGCTACTGGCTGCCATCTGCTGACCATGCAGAAACGAGCCTGAGGCAAAGCCAATGCCTAGGACAGCATGGCCAAAGAGACACAGAGGACCCTGGTGACATCTCCAAGTCCCATCTCTGGATGTCCTGCTGTGAGAAATGGTAACTTTCCTGATTCCTAAAGCCAGGTGGGTTGGGATTTTGGCTTCCCACAGCCAGAACATTCTAACTGGCATGGAGGAAGAACCTGTTTGCAAAGTGTTGTGTGTGAGGCAAACATGCAGGGGTCTGCCTGGGTCTCCTGTTTCTGAGCTCTGTGCTCTTGTCCAGGGGGATTATTTGGCATCAGTTTCCCCTGGACTCTTCTATAACTTGGGTAAATGAAGCTCTTTCCCTAAGAAACCTATTTTTCCCCCGAGACATGAAAGCAATCAAATAGAGGATCTGCGACAATTTTCTATACCAGTGCCATTTGCCAGAAGGGAATGAGGACTAAGGTCACCAAAGTGTTGCAGCATGGGCAGAGGGTGGGCTTCAATGAGCCCTGCCAGCAGGAAGTGCCAGACCCCTCCTGAGGAACAAACGAGTCCACTGGTATAGCTGTTTCCTGGAGCTTTCTGAAGGACAGATGCAGGGGTTAGGAGGCAGTCCAGGGAATGTGACCCAAGGACACCACACAGTTCAGCCTGGTTGGAATAGATAATTCACAAGGAGAAGTTGAGAAAAACTTAGAAAAATCAGCTAAGGCTGTGAAACCGGATCAAGGAGTTTGAACTGTATTCCATAGGCAATGGGCAGCTATTATAGGTCTTGGGAAAGAGCAGCCTGGAAGTTCTCTGGGAAAACAGAGATAGAAAAGCCAATTTGGAGCTGCCAAGCTCAGCATCTCCCCAGTCAGTACAGGAGAGGAGAGCCTGAGTGCTAGAATGGAGGGCCTAGAAGGGAATGTGCAGAGGTGGGTCATACTCTGCATGAAGGGGGCACAGGAGCATGTTCCTGACAGCAATTCAAGTCCCAAAGTCTGCAGATGATTTAAATAAATTCTTAGCAACTCAAAGCTCATCCTTTACTAAAACCTTCACTCATTCACATCTCAATGGGCCTTCTTGGTGGTGAGAGAAGAGCATAAAGTCACAGCTATCTTGAGGGTCCTGCAGAGATAATGTAGTGGGGCCCTAACTTCATTCAGGTCTTCGAGGCTCTTGTGGAACACAGACTGAGAACTTTTGGGCCAGCCATAGGTGAGAGGCCAGAGCTCTGAGTCTGCCTGCTTACCTGGATTTTAATAGCACCTCCAGTCAGCCCTGTTCATCTCTAGGGGAGTGTCTCTGTGAGCCTAGAAACTCTGGAGCTAAGAAAGCTAATTAAACTCAGTGTTTCCTCAGTCTTTTCCAACCCACATACCCATTGATAATAAAGAGATTGTACCTCATGCCCAAACTGACTGGTAAAGTTCAGCATCCTCTTCTCCCTCATTCATAAGGCTCTTCTGCAACATCTGCCCCTCAAGACCAGTGGATTCCATCAACCTTTACTTTCTGAAGTTGGTATTTTATATCAACATCTATTCTATATTTTACTTTTCAATGTAAAATTATATCACTGCTCTTTCAAATAGGCATGGCCCCAACTGGACATTCTCCATACGACCCCACCAGATAAGAACTACTGTGCTGAAACACATTAAGGTGCTGATATGACCATTTTTGACCAGTGTCCCATGGTCCTGCCATACAAACCAGCTATCCTTTCCACCACCATGGTATGGACAGTCCTTCTCAAGAGAAAATGGACACCTGTGTGCCCAGTGAAACATATCCTCAGCTGGAGTTCTGACATGTGCTCTCTAGGAGGAAAGAGGAGAAGCCAGGAGCTAGAAAGAGACCATGAAGAGACACAGTTCATTGATATTTGAGGTTAGAAGAAAGAAAAAGGACAAAAAGGTTTAAGAAGAGAACAGAAAGACAGGGAGGAGAGACTGTCTCACCAGGGGGTGGAAGGGAGATCGGTCCTCAGCTCCAATCTAGGTCAGGGAACTGAAGAGGAACTCACACCAGGGTTACGAGGCAGTCCAGGGAATGTGACCCAAGGACACCACACAGTTCAGGGAGGAAGGCATCAGGGAGGAACATGAGCAGGAAGAACAGTGGGAATATTTGTGAGTTTATACACTAAAGGAATGACTGGACTGCCATTTGCAAGAAGAACTATGTCAAATGTTCTTAAACACCTGTACACACAAAATATCTAGGTGCTAATTTCAGACACTGATTCTCTACAAAATATTTGGTGATAATTGTCATAGCTAAGGAAATGGCTGGAATTACAGGCATCCCTAGTTCAGTTCACCAAGAAGGCCTGTGAACAGTAACAGTGCCGTAACAATCAGTATACCCAGTACCTAGATCTCAGTTTCTACAAATCCTTCTCTACAAAAAGGAACCAGAGCTCCTTGGAGAAACGGTTTATTCCAGGGCCAGAGCAGGGAAAGTACAAGACGAGCTTGGAATATTTTGTAAAACTATTTTTAAAAAATTGATGGGGAGACAGTGAAACGGCACAGGAGTCAGATGAAAGCTCCCAACAGCTAGATCTTGGACTATTTTAGTACCAAAATTAAAAAGTAATAGTAATGAATTATAACCCATAGAATAAAATATCCATGAGTCAATATTGATATGAATAAATAATTAGGAGAGAAGGACAGATCTTCCTTAGAGAATTCCAATTTAAAAATGTAGAAGCAATCATGGAAATAGATCACCATTTGGCAAACATCACAGTAATAACTGTTGCACGCAAGATCTGCTGATAGATGCTAAAATTAGCAGGTGAAAAGTATAATGAGAGGATATTTGCATAGTCTCAAAGTATCTCCCCATGAAGTGCATATTAATTACAAAAGTAAAAATAGAAACTACAGTAGAGAAGCCTGGCAGACATGCCCTGAACCAAGTAATCAAAATTAACATCACCTGCAATAACATATTGACGTCACGCACCTCTTTATATGAAGCACTTGAGACAGGAACACACTTCTGTGGTTTCCTTACCCAAAATGCATAACTTTAATCTATATTTCTAAATGGGGATCCTTGGTTCTAGCTGCAGTTCTAACTCTGAATAAGGTCTGTAGCTTAGCTAATAGAGAAAACCTTAAACCCAAATTGAGGGATGTTCTACCAAATACCTGGCCATTACTTATGGAGCTAAGGTCATAAAAGACAAGGGAAGATGGAGGAGGAGCTGCCCCGGATTGGAGGAGACTAAGGAGACACAGCAACTTAATGCAGTGTGGGATTCGGGTTTGCATCCTGGACCAGAAAAGGAACATTAGTGGGACAGTAGGCAGAATTTGAATAAGATCTGTGGCTTTATGTGTTCTGTGAATTTCTTGGTTTTGATCATTATACTGTGCTCTGTAAGATGCTAGTATCAGGGGAAATGGGAAGAAATGGTTTATGTAACTTTTCTGTAAGTCTAAAATTTATTCAAAATAGTTATTTATTTTTAAAATAAATTAGATAACTTAAGAAACATGAGTCTTTTTTTTTAACTAGATAAGAAACATGAGTCTTCCCCCCACCCCCTTTTTTTTTTTTTTGAGACAGGGTCTCACTGTTTCCTTGCCCAGGTTGGAGTACAGTGGCACGATATCAGCTCACTGCAACCTCAAAATTCCTGGGCTTAGGTGATCCTCCCACCTCAGCCTCCCAAGCAGCTAGGAGTATGGGCAGGAGCCACCAGCCCGGCTAATTTTAAATTTTTTGTAGAGAAAGGAGTCTGGCCATGTTGCCCAGACTGGTATTGAACTTCTGCCTCAACCTCCCAAAACGCTGGAATTATAGGCATGAACCACCACACCCAGCTAAGAACATGAGTCTTTATAAATGTGACATGTAAAAGGACATGAATGCAATTTGCTCTAAAATCCTCCAGCAAACAAAGCAAGTAGAAAGACAGAACCGGACAGTAGGATACTGACCACTGTGGAAGATGATGGGGTTCTTTATATGTTTGTATTTT